AGACCGAACTTGGGCAACAGCGCTGTGGTAGCCTTCCTGAGTCCCTCCTGAGCTGCCTGACTCCAGGACATGACCAGGCTGGGAGGCCTAGAGAGCCCCTGCCTCTGTGAGGGGAAAAGCCAGGAAGAGAGAAAGAGCCCTCTGAAGGTCTGTCGGTCTGTTTGTCTCAGCAGTTTTCCTATACCTAGCCCTGGTTTCTCCCATCCGTACTTCCACTCTCCACCTCCCACCCCCAAAACTTTCTTCCAGGGTTTGCTCTTGTACACAAGTCCTCCGGGCTTAGCCCTCCCACCAGGCATCTCAGTGGAGAAAGGGGCTTCGTATCTGCACAGTCGGCTCTGGTGGCCCCAGGCCACGTGCAGCTACTGAGCACCCAGAGTGGCAAAGCCGAGCCGCGCTACTTTAACGAATTAAAATGTAAAAGCTGGTAGTTGATTCCGTTATTTGGAAAACTCTTATGTGTGTCTGGAACAACTTGGGTATGTGAATCTGTTTTTTCAACTGTAAATTTTATGAAACCTAAATACAGATAAAATATTTACCAGGAAAATTGAGCATTTGAATTGAGATATGCTGAAAGTGTAAAATACACACCAGATTTCAAAGATTTACTGTGGAAAGATTAATATAGCTCATATTGAAATACTGATTATATGGCACACAGTTTAAGGCGCTGGATCCCACATGGCCAACAGTACGGCTCGAGCCTTGGACCTAATGGCTTGAAAATCACGCCAGACATGTGTGCGTGCATATTGAAAATCCCGAGTGGAAACTGGAGAAGAGATTGCAGCATGGCCATCTCCTTTGAGAATGATTTTTTTTTAATTTATTGATTTAATTCCATTTGTTACTATTTTTAAAAATTTGATCAGAGAGAGAGAGAGAGAGAAAGGGAAGGCAAGAAAGCAAGCCGCCAGGTCTGGGACTCGAACCCTGGGAGGCCATGTGAGAATCCAGCGTCTTTAACTACCACGCCACCTGCCAGTCCCTAAGGAGTGATTTTTAATTTTCTCTCTCTGTATCTATCTCTGTTGAGCACACATCTAGCAAAAACTAAAAACAAAACAAAACAAAAAACTAAAGATACCAATTATAGTATTTTGGACCTATTAGGTTATAAAAATAAAATATATTACTGAAATGAATGTCAGCGGTCTCTGTCACTGGCTATGAGAAGTTGAACGTTACTTTTGTGTCTCGCGTTATATTTCATTACGTTTCTCTGGCCTGTGCTCTCTAGACTGTGGATTTAGCTGGACTTGGATGAGGTGAGGGCCAGGCTGCTGGAGGAACTGAGCTCCCTCTGTCAGCCTGTGGCACTCACCACCATGCTTCCTGATCACCTGTGCAGGGGGATCAGGGAAGTTGCTCACTGCCTATTCCAGGAAGTGTTCCCCATCCCACCACCACCCCTCCCGCCTCCAGGATGGGAACAAGTCTGAGGAAGGAGCATTTCGCAGGAATTCTGCATCTCCTCCTGCCTTCCCCACAAGTGTGACACCTGGAAGGGTGCCAAAAGGGGAAGGACGGAAGAATCCTTGTGTTGCAGCTGAAGAGGCCGTCAGAGCTGCAGGTTTTGTCACGCCTCTACTCCAAAGCTGGGCTTGCTGCTGCAGGACCTGCAGGAGCAGAATTACCCTTCAACAGCAGACCTAGCTGCACCCTGGGCGATTCAAGTGCAAATTGGAGGCTTTTCTAAATAGCTCTAACAAACTATATGGTGCCTATTTGCAGCCTTCGGAGGACTGTGTCTTTTAGCAAATCAGAATGTGAAACTGGGATTTAGATAAAATATTATATGGAGAAGGACAGCACGTTTTGCAAAAAGGATACAAAATGAAGTACTAACCACGAGAGACTCCACGTGCTAGGTACGCTGCTTCAGGAGTGAGACACACACAGCCTGTTCCCGACATTCACGTCCCTTTGAAGCATCACCTCCCTCCTTTCCACTGTCTGTTCACATCCGAGTTCTCCTTCAAGGTCCAGCCCCGGCCTCCCCTCCCTGAGCCTTTCCTCGATGTCCACTTGGTAAGCAGTGCTGTGGACAGGGCTGCCACGTCCGGCAGTGGGCTTTCCCTTGGAGCTGGGTTCTAGGACGGGGATGAGTGGCATTAGTTTTGTCCTGACCAGTTCCTGTCACCATCACAGGGAGCTACGAAGCACTCTGCACATAGTACTGCTTTAGCCCCACCTCCAAAAAAGAACAGAAAAAAAATCAGTTTGACATGAAAAAACGTTTTATTCATAATTTCTTGTATTTACAGTGTATGTCCTCATTACAGTCATTCTCACAATAAATACAGAGGTGCTAACCAGATCATCATCAAGCAGCCTGTGGTTTGAGTCTCAGGGACCAGGGGCTGCCGCACACACTGGTGCTTCCCAAGAGCCGGTCAGGAAGCCGTCAGAGAGTTTAGTGAGGGGGAAATTTAGGATCTGAACTTGAATTCATAGAGTCAGTGCAGCAAATCTGAGGATGTCTATTTAAAAAAAAGATAGGGGGACCAGCAGTTGGTGTAATGGCTATGTCGCTGGACTCCCACGTAGTCGACTACAGTTTGCATCCCGGACTCGGTGGCTTAAACTCATGCCGGGCACGTGTGTGTGTGTGCCCAAGATCCCGAGAAGAGAATGGAGGAGACGGGATTGTGGCGTGGCCATCCTCCCTGGGGGGTGATTTCTCGCTTTCTGTCTCTGTCTGTCTCTGTCTTTCTGGCGAGCGCACACGCCCTATAGCAAAAACCTCTCAAAAAAATTTTTTTAAAGATATGATTTATTTTATTTTATTTGCTATAAGGGTGCTTATGCTCTCCAGAGAGAGAGCAACCACTCCCCAAACCATCCCTTCTCCATTCTCCTTTCAGGATTGTGGGCACACATGCACCCACACCCGGAGTGGTTCAGTCTGGGACTTGAACTGCATTATTGGCCATGTGGGATTCAGCTGCCCTAACCACCAGACAACCAGCTGACCCCTCAGATAGAGGGCTTTTTGGTTTTCTTTTTGCTTTTTACTGCTTTTACCAATTGATACAAGAGGAGAACAAAAGACGCGAGACCCCCGATATGAGGGGCAAAGGAAAGATCAGAGGGACCAGGCTTCCCGTGCCCTGGCCCAACCTATGCCATGTATGTTTTCCCCACCTGCCATGCACCCAGCACTGCCCCTGGGCCCTCCTGGGCATCCCCACGTGGCAGACAGGAGGGGTGCAAGGAAGGCAAGCAGCTCACACCAGTTTCCTTTGGCGGTGGCTGATGTCAACAAATGAGGGGATTCGCTTCAGAGCAGCCTTTCTGCCTCTCGGGCTTTGTTTTGTCCCTGGCTGAGGACTGGGAGCCTGGGCTGTCTAAGCGGGGAGGAGGAATGCCACTGTTCTCGCTCCCAGGCCCCCTTTTTATGAGCAGCCTTTGTGCCAGATACAGTGATCTCTCTGTTCTCTCATGAGGCATCAAGGAAAGGTAGGCAGCTTTTCAGAAGATAGGCCCCCTGTCTGGAGTGGTTGTATTGGTTTCTGACTGGCAGTTTTGGACCAAGATCAAGAAACTACCTAATTCGTATCTGTTGGTCACAAGGGTCATCCCTGCTGTCATGTGCTAGTGCATCAGGCAGCCAACAGCAAGGCCGAGATGCCACTTGGGCTCCGAGGCCATCAGAGAGACCTCTGACAGTGCACACACACATGTGCGCACACACACACACACAGGCACGCATGTGGGCCCCCGTTAGGTCACTTGTAACCTCGCCCAGCAAAACAGCCTATGAAGACATGGGGCTTGGCATCATTACGAAAAGTTGTGACAATGGAGAAGAATTTTTAGAGTCTAAGGGAGGAGTAAAGGCAAAAGACAAAAAAGAAACCCTGTGCGTGGAGTTGACATTCTGTGCTGTCGAGATGAGAGTGTGGATCAGGAGGCCCCTGTGAACCACGGGTGCTAGCATTCGGGGTTGGTGGTGCAGGCTCCTGCCCCTCGTGGAATCAGCAGGCCCTCACAAGGCGCCCCCACCTAGGAAGGAGCATGGGAGACTCAAGGCTTCTCAGGAACTGTCCCCGCGACTTGGGGTGAAGACGTGGAGGACGTAGGTGCCTCCCATGATCATTGTTGCCTATATACCACCACGGCGGGAAACATCCTGCCTTTATAGCTTGAAAATGTACTTTAAACACGATTCAGCACCCTTCCCGTCAGGAGTAAGGTCCCAAGGAAGGCGGGCAGAAGGGGCACTGCCGAAGCGGCCGAAATGCAATCTGGAGCAAAAGAGATGACTCTGCAGTCTCTTGGCTTCTGCCTGTTTCCTCCAGACTCAGAGCAGAGCGGGTCACCTCAGCGCTCACGCCTGCTCCAGGAGAGAGAAAGCAACACGTTCTCGAGGAGCAGCCGAGTCGCTGCCCCGTGAGGAGTACAGACTAACGACTCCACCAGCGGGAGGCTGGGGGTGGGCGGCCCCGGCCG